GATGGTCGTGATCCTGTTTTTGCTAATGAGCAGGCTTTGCAAAAGGATTTGTGGGCATGTGACATTGTCAAAAAATTATTTTGAGACGAGGATGGTGCTTCAATTTCTTTAGAAGGCATTCGTCCGAGTTGGGCAAGATTGGGCCGACCGCTTTTCAAGCTGTCGGGTTTTTGTGTTGCTTTGTCCTTGCCTCGAAAGAAAGGATGACCGTGAGAGTTTTTTAGGATACGAATCATCATGTCACGACCAGGATGCCCTAGTCGATCATGCCAAAGTCTATATCGTTCAGTATCCCTTATGTCATCATGACTTATAGAATAAGATTCAATTATTCGAATTGTAGTGATATACAGTCCACTACTCTTACCCTTAAACTTCTCTAAGATGCGCTTTCTTCCGCATTCATTAGAAGTAATGTAAAGGTATTCAATACCATTCTCACAATGAGTTTCAACATGAAAACCATTGTCACGGATGTCTTTGAAACTTAACAAGGTTCGAGTAGCTCTAGGTGCATATAGAGCATTTATGGCTTTAATCAATGTACCATTAGGGAGTAAGAAAATGGCAGTGCCACGTCCTTGAATTACATGTGACGAACCAATCATTGTTGTCACAGATGAATTATAGGCTACCAAGTTAACAAATAGTTGCCTATTTCGCAAAATGGTATGGGTAGTCCCACTATCTATTAAGCACTCAAGTTCACCTCGATTCATGCCTGTGTAATGAGAGAATTGCATATAGAACTGGAACACATAATGCATATAAAAATAGGGGCATAAATCCCTTAATTTATTTAAATTGAATGCAAATTTAAAACAATTCCACATAGTCTAAAAAACGCAATAAATAATCTTCGAAACACTCCTAGGAAATTGGCAGAAACATAAAAGAAATTATTCTAAAACATCATGCATGGAGAGAATGAATAGAGTGTATCAATCAAAATCAGGTGCATCCATTGAATGCACATTATCCCCCTTGTTCGTAAAGTGTGCAAGGGTAAGATTGACATCAACGTCATTGCCTTCTTCATCCAAATATTGAGATTCATGCTCTCGAGATCGGAGATATTTCTTGTAGCAGGCAGCAACTTTGTTACTAGCGCGACAATGCTTGTACCAGTGTTCGCTAACTCCACATCGGTAACATGGCTCATTCTTTAGCACATGAGGATTGGATGCATTTGACTTCTTGTTTGTGTGGCCACTTGGTCCATCATTTGACTCTCTTCGCCAAACATTGGAAGATACTCCACGACCTCTACCACGACCACCACGACCCTTCCCACGATTAGAGTTATTTCCACGTGGGTAAGGGTTGGCACGTCCAGGTCCCTTTTCATTGGGATGCCTGCCATGTTTTATTTTCCCATAATTGGCTTCAGGAATTTTCTTTGTCCCGACAGGCCGAGCATTGTTATTCACAAGGACTTCATTATGCTTTTCTGCTGATTGCAGCATATTCATCAACTTGTAGAATGTGGTAATTCTTTTGTTTTCATACTCTATCCTATACTGATTCGCTAGTATCATGGATGAGGTAGGGAATGTGTCAAGAGTCTTTTGAATCATGTCATCTTCGGTGATTGGCTTACCACAAAAGATGAGACGTGCCTTAAGACGCAACATATCTTTGACAAAGTCATTTGTCCGTTTATAGTCTAGCAAACGGATTTCATTCCATTGCGCATTTAGTTCCGGGAGCAGAGTATCATGAATGTTCCCAAAACGTCCCTTAAGGGCATCCCACAGTTCTTTGGGGGTTTTCAACTGAAGATATTCCCAACGTAAACTTGGGTCAATGTGTCGCCTTAGGAACATTAAAGCATTTGCTTTCACTTTTTCAGATGGTGCATCTTTCAATTCACTGGGGTCTTTAAGTGTGGCAGAGAAGTCTTTAGCCACAAAAGCCATTTCTACATTAGAAACCCAACGGTGGTACTCAAGTCCTTCTGAGTCCAAGATGTCAAATTCAGGTCTAGTGGGCTCAGTCATTTCTAGGTAAAATGCAAATAAACAATCATAAGTAAATTGATATCTTGAAATGAGAGTTTTTATCAAATAATTCATGCTCTCTCCTTTTTGTTATATACGAAATTTCTTAGTCAAAACTAATATGTACTAGCCACAGAACTCAATTAGTTTTGAGTCTAAAATGGCATATTTGGGTTCAATTGGATGAACCATTTCTTAAAAAAAATATCCAAGCAATATATAGTCCATAATCATTAATCATGGATGACAACAATCGCATTGAAATTTAGGCTAAAGTATAATTCTATTACATGAAGTAAAGAAAAAAAATTAAGACTTAAATATTGGCCATGGGGGGTTTTTTTTTTACTTAAAATTAAAATTCTAATAAATCGTTTTTTTTTTTGAAAAAAAACACCAATAAAACATTTTTTTTTCAATAAAGAATAATAATGATGTTAATAATTATAATAATATACCATCAAATTTACGTTTTCTTTACTAAGAGGAATAGTTATTTTGGCATTGAAACAGAGCAAACAAAAAAAAACAGTGTATATTTTCAACACAAACCACCCAAATACGATGACAAAAAAAAATCAACCAACTACTGGACTTTTCAATGACCAGTATAAAATATAGGGTAACATGTTATTGAAATTACTATGTGCATATCCAGAAATAAAATACTATGCATTTAAACGCGAGTAGTAATTATTCATATGTGGAAAATCAAACCGTGAAAATTGAAGCCATGTAAAGGTATATACCAGCAAACATCCCATTTTGAAGCCAAAACATACATTTTTTTTTTGTTTTTTGTTTTGAAACGCAGCATGTAACTTTTAAAAAAAATGTAGATGTACACATAATTGCAGAAGAATAACAGATTAAAAATAATTGGTGCAGGTTTCTTTACCTTATGCATTGCAGATTTGTGCGAAAAAATCATCTTGACACATACTTGAGAAGAACACAAGGGAGGGCAATTATATAATAAAAAATTCGATCATGTACCAGAAGGAAAATCGGAAACTCAATTCATAGAATACCTGGACTTTGGGGATCGAAAATTTGGAAAAGAAGATCTGAAATTTGGCTCTGCTCTATTCCTTTTCTCAAAATTTGGTCCAGCGGCAAGAAAAGAAGATCCGCAATTTGTCTTCCTCTCGTTTGGGTTTGTAGCACAGCCAATTATCAAGGTTGTCTTCTCGCTCTGTCGATGGTTTTTGGAAACGGACGAAAGAAAATCGGCGGTGACTAGCGATGGCGGCGTGGGGAAACTCAGACGATGGGAATCGCAGAGGAGAAGGCGATGTGTGTTCTTTTCCTTTTCGATGCACAGTGGAGAACGGCGGCAAAAAACAGGAGAGGGAGGCGGACGGAAAAGCAGGCTAGGGTTTTACAAGAGAAGGCCCACAGGCCAGTACAACTGTATTACACAATATAAAATAAATTCTATCTACACAACAGCACACTAATTTACAAATTCTTCAACAGTTTTCAAAATATATTGGAGGATTCTCCATATCTTCTTTTTCATTGAAAAATGTGAATCACTTTATGGCTATTCCGCATGGTCATTCACATTAATGAGATGAGGTCCAATTTTTACACTATATTGATAGCACCAAAACACAACCCTTCCAAAACACAACCATCTCCATAATTCAGGCGAATTCCTATGACCATGTCTCAGAAAAATCATCAAAAATGTGGAACGACCTTAATGAGATTGGCAATAGCTGCACAACTTGGATGCTAAAGTTATGTGTCGTTCATATTTATTTTGTTTCGTCTTAGGCAAAGGGATGGGACTCGATGGAAGTCATTTTCCATGACGAACATGTATACTATTTAGTATTTTCCTTCTTTCCAGTATTCGTATGTTATCCTAATTTGTGATTTACTTAATAATAACATTCGAGTTTTTCTACATTGTTTATAGGGAACAAGAACTTTCCGTGATTATTTAGTAAATAATTTTCTTATGCAACACACGATTACAAGTCTAGTTACTCTCCAAAAATTGGACCTGCAAATTAAAATGGACACATAATTGGGAGCCCAAACGAACAATACAAAGTATGTGCTTATACTTTTTTTAATCTAATGACGCACAATAAGCTAATGCCCTCGCTTCTGATGTGACTCAAACTTAGATGAATTTTCTTCTGAATCATAGAGAATGACCTTTCTATCACTCAAAGAGAAGTCTACAAAAACTATTTAGAGAAGTGTTGGGGACTTGTCGTGCGGTCCAAAACAAATTAAAAATTTATAAATTAACCTTAGTTAACCCCCAAAATATAGTCAAATAAAAACTATAGCTAGGGCAAGTAAGGGTCGATCCCACGGAGAAAGTTTATACTTTTGAAATCATTTAAGCATGCATACACATTGTCACTAAATAATGTTGGAATGCATGAGTTCAACCCTTTATGTGTTGTTAGTGTTGACTCACAGGTTTTGATAATTGACAAACACAATTTATTCAAGTCAAGATCAAAGTGCTACAACGACAAACATGAAGACTTGAAGTGCCATTCCTTGAAGTATTCAAGAAGGTGCACAGGATTTTATTGGAGTCCGAGACGCGTTTGGAGCGCCTAACGGAGGACTCGGAGGAGTAGAAGATTTCCGAAGACTTTTTATTTATTTGAGTCGTAGGAATTTTTGTAAGGATGACAAAAATATCTTCTCTCCAAAATTATTTTTATGAGTTAAAATAAAAATTATATTTATTTTTGGGGGAAAAATCTTTTTAACTGTTCAAAATAGTTTTATTGAGTCAGTCACAAGAGGTGTGCCAAACATTTATCAAATATTTATTTTGATAATATAAAATATTTTTGGTAAGCAAAAATATTTTATTCAAATATTTTTCGTGTACATCGTTTGACACACAAAATATTTTTGGGACTCAATTTCTACACCAAAATTCTTTATTTAATTCAAATTTTGAATTTGAATTATGTAGGTTGATTGGGGAGCCTTTTGATATGATTTCCTTGTCCAAAACAAAGCATTTAACTCCAAACATCCATCCCACTCGCACACATGCTTTGGGTCCTCGTGCTTGGGCTCTGTCCGTCATTGGATCGATCCTTTCTTGTGGATCGATCATATTGCTTTGCGCTCAGGGATTGGGATCGATCCATCTCCCTGGATCGATCCGCCGAAGGCTTGCGAAATTTTGTCTTCTGAACTTTGGTACCCTTGGATCGATCCCCTGCCTTGGATCGATCCCCCGTGATTTTGACACAAACTTATTTTTGATCCTTTACTCCAGGTGATCGATCCTCTCCCCTAGATCGATCCCCAACGGTCCAATCTGTCAAAATCAGCCTTCCCCACTTCCAACAGATTTATTTCTTTTTCCTCTATTTAAACACTCTTCCTTGGTCATTTTTTTAAGGAAGAAACACTCCAATACTGTAACGCTCCGAAACCCGGCTTAGTATTTTAATTAATTTATAAAATTAAATAATTATTGAGCCTCTCAATACGAAGATTATTTTCTAATTGGCCTTAATTAATTAGGGTTAATCCTTCATTGTAGAGCTCGCTGTTCTGAACCCGATCGTGCAAACGGGTCGTGAATTGGATCTACAGGGTCCGAGATACGATTGACGAATAGGTTAAACTTGTCCTAATTGGTTAAGTGGTGTAAAGTGGACCCTAAATATATTTAATTATATAAAAAACGCCCTTACTGAAAGGATACGCACTGCGCGTAACGCACGACTGGTCTCTCTCTCTCTTCCGTTACCTTGTGCCCGCCGCTGTACCGTCGACTGGAGACGCCGACCAGGAAGCCGACGCCGCCATCTTCCTCGTTCTCCGCCGCTATTTCCGTCCGCGCATCGCCGAAGGAGAGGAGCAACCGTCCGTTCTCTCGCTCGTCTCCGCCGACCAGGGCAGCGCCGCGACTCGCCGTCGACTTCAGGAGTTCCGGCGACATTCTCCTCTTTTTCCTCCGTCGCGTGCAGCAGGCCGGCGATACCAGGGAGGAGTTGCAGCGGCGAGTCCTTCCCAATCCAAGGTTGAATTCATCAAATTTCGAGGTGAATCGTGGTTCCTATACCTATAGTTAGCGTTAATTTGTAGAATTAGTACTTCCTTAGCTTCTAATCTTGCAATTGATTGTGTAATTGGGTTTGATTGTGGTTTAAATTGTTGGGGGAATGTTG